CTAACTTGGTTTCCTAAAAAACCAATGTCATGTAAAAAGAATGGGAGAGAGAAAGGCAAAACCATACTAAAAGATTTTAAAAGACTTAAAAGCCATCACAAAAACATTTTTTTAAGACTTAAGAGCTATACAACCAAATATAAGTGTATCTTATCTGGATCCTGATTTAAACAAATTAACTGTTTAAAACCAGACAATGAGAGAAATTTTAATATGGTCTGGATATAATATATTAGAGAAATGTTTATCATTAGATGTGTTATTGCCACCGTGACTATGTCATATTTTGAGATGTATAATGAAGTATTTTTAGGGGTGAAATGACATTTAATGTCTAGGATTCACTTTAAAACATCCTGGCCAAACCAAGAGGGAGATAGGAAATAAGAGGCAAAATATATGCTTATTGGAGTTAGGTGATAGATTCATGGGGGATTTTTTTTTAAGTTTATTTATTTATTTTGAAAGAGATAGAGTGCAAGCAGGGGAGGGGCAGAGAGAGAGAGAGAATCTCAAGCAGGCTGTCAGCACAGAGCCTGAAGCAGGGGCTCAAAGCCACAAAACTGAGATCATGACCTGAGCTGAAGTCAAGAATCAGACACTTAACTGAGCCATTCAGATGCCCATGGAGGATTATTATACTTGACTTTTGTGTATGGTGGGAAATTTTCACAATAAAACCTATAAAAAAAGAAAAGTATGACATGATGTAGAATGTGGTTTATTACTCAGGTTTGGTGTTTTCTACTAAAAGCTAATATATATTTTTCTTTTTATTTAGATATAAGTAAATTTTTCAGTAAATATAAGTAAATGCACTAAAGGGATGATGGAGTCCCAACAAACCATTCAAAGCACTAAGCTCTTCCTTCACAAAGTGCCCAAGAAGCTTCTTCTAAAGAGCAAGCTTGTGTCTACAAAGCACAAAATAAAGCAAAATCATATAATAATCTGATGACAGGTAGTAGGGTGCACAATTCAGATAATTCAGTCTTTGCATGTATAGTGACCTGAATTGTTCAGTTTGGCTGTTTCAAAACTTACAGTGCTTTAATAATTGTACATTCTTGGGGTGCCTGGGTGGCTCAGTTAGTTAAGCATCAAACTCTTGATTTTTACCTCAGGTCATGATCTCATGGTTCGTGAGTTTGAGCCCCACATCAGGCTCTGCACTGACAGTGCAGAACCTGCTTGGGATTCTCTCTCCCCTGTCTCTCTCCCTACCCTGCTTGCTCACTCTCTCAAAATAGATAAATAAACTTAAAAAAATTTTTTAAATAATTATACATTCTTCTCTTTGCTTTATTACCATTTTGACTGAGTACAAATTGAAATTAGCTAGAGCAGCCATGAGACATTCCAGCTGTTTTTGAGACACTGGTTACCATACTAAGATGAACTGTGTGGGTCATGATATTCTGATAAACAGGAAAGACTGAAGAGGATGCAGCTGAGAGTTCATGAAAACTTTAAAGGTGACATGGGGTGGTTTGAGGAGAGTGCCCTGCACCGAAGTGGGGTCACCACAGCTCTTCCTCTGGCTCTGACAGTGGCTACAGGAATTATGATTCATTTGCCAAGGCTCCCTTTGTTGACTTGGCATCCCTCATTTCAAACCTAAGTCATCATTTGGGTCAGATTGGGGTCAAGGCTCTACTGGAGCCAGTAATGGCTCTACCAGGGGGACAACATGGAAAAGCTCTGAAAGAAGCATATACTGTCACTGGCAAGAGTTGTGGAACATAGTGCTGTCTACTCTCACTGGAACATGCACTCACCTCTTATTAGTATTTCCTGTAGGTGTGCTACAACTATTTCATTAATTGCTGTCAGGAGAAACTATTTACCCTCTACCCAGGACACCAGACTGATCCTCCTGACCTGCTTCTCTCAAAGCAGATTTCAAAACAACTGTGTTCTCTGCATGTCTGCCCCCCCCCCCATCTCCCTCTTCCAGTGTTTGGCACTTGCATTGGAGAGTCACAAACACAGCATAGGAGTTTCCCTTCCTACTATATACTCAAACTCAGCCTCCAACAATATCCTCCTCACACTTCTCAGCAAGGGTTGTTCTCAGCTGCCAAGGAGTGGCTGTGGTTCACATTAGATTCCAGAAAGACTAACCTAGAACTACTCTCCTTCTAGGCATGGTTTACAAGCCCAAACTTTGAATCTCAGAGGATAGTCCACAATTCAACAAATTTCCTGAGAACTCACCCAGGGCAAAGTTCTGGATAAGTGAATGGTTGTGGAGCTTAAGGGAGAAGAAAATGCTTCTGGTGTGTCCTAGGTGCAGGAGAGATGAGGTGTGTGAAAGAAATCCCTGTATAATATCAGAACATGTAGAAGAGTATTGAGGATAAGGTAGAAAGATGAGGAGGGAGCAACACAGAGGCACATCTTGCTAGTGGATTCAAGAAAAGCTTTTAAAAAGAGCTCAAAGACACGAAGGCCACACTTTGCACTTCCTTGATTAACCTGAAGCGCTCACTCCAAGTAAACAGTGACTTGCTCATCAAGGAGATCTTTGCCTTTGATGTCACCTTTTCCTTCTTCTTTTATTTTTAACTGTTTGGCCCTGGACATTAGCAGAGGCTTCAGGACAGTGGTTCTCCTTCACTTTTGCTGTAGTGACTGAAATACCACCATTCCTTGGGCAAAAACCTTGTGCCCCAGATGTTCCCCATTAAAATTCAAGAACAAATAAATACCAGAGAGGAATGGTGCTTTCATTCTAAACTGCTTTCCCCTTTGGTAAGTTGAATTTTTGCCTTAGTTACTAACACCTTGCTAGGACCAAGAAGTTAGCATGGTGGGAGGCAGAGGTTTGTTTAGAGGAAAGAGAAGGAAGATTCTGGAACCTGAATGCTCTCTGGGGCAGGCAGGCAGAGGCTTCCAGTGTCCAGCAGAAACCTCCATCTGCCCTCTGTAGCCACATAACATCCAAACTTCCACTAAAGAGAAAGAGAAGTAGGGCACCTAGCTGGCTCAGATGATAGCACATGGGACTCTTGAGCCTGAGGTTATGAGTTCAAGCCCCACTTTAGGCCTAAAGCTAACTTTAAAAAGAGGGGGGAGGCACCTGGGTGGCTCAGGTTATGATCCCATCCTGGGTGGCTCGGTAGGTTGAGCCCAACTTCAGCTCAGGTCATGATCTTGAGGTTCCTGAATTCAGGCCCCACATGCGACTGGCAGCTGCCATCGCACAGAGCCCTTTGCATCCTCTGTCCCCCTTTCTCTGCCCCTCCCCCGCCTTTGCTGTCTCAAAAATAAGTATTTTAAAAGAGAGAGAGAG